ATTTAAATTAAAATTTCAAGGAAATCCAACAATACGCTCTTTTCTGGATCAACGACATTAATTGGATATATCTCAGTTAACAACAACAACAAAAAAAGGTAGCTGGCCATCACCATCATTTTTTCACTTTTTCTTTTTTTTTAGTAATCTTGAGGCCTCTGCTTTTCTGCCCTATTTGATTAAAGAAAATGATCTTTCAAATTTTTTTCAGGACAGGCCCACACATGGAAACAGACTCACCCACACAGGAAACCATGCTAACTACATTTTTCATTTGAAACCTGAACAGTTGCCAAAATATATATGAAGCACTTGTGGAAGAAAGATGAACAAAAACTTTGATTTCAGATAAATCATCAGCAAGAAAATGAGATTTCTAGTTATTGCTCAGGAAGCACCTGTCTCTCAATTTTGAACAGTTGAACAGTTAGTTCAATGGCAAATAGTCGATTGAAGTATTGCAGTTTTTTTTCCAGAGCATCTAACTCTACCTGAGCATGTATGGCTGAGTATATTACTGCCACAATGACTTAAAGTATGACTTTCTTTAAGTAAGTAAGCTTACCCTGTCTTACTGGCATTGTACAAATAAAGAGAAATGTCTTTACAGAAAATATCTTTTCTGTCAATGAAGGAAAAATTTTACTATAGAGTAGAGCATTTTCTCCTCTTCCCTGCATCTGTACTTCAGAGGTTAAAGAAGGCAAATCCAGATTTTGATGAGCTGTTGCCCAATATAATCATTATTCTGATCAGGTCAGCATTCAACCTTGATTGAAGCAGAATGTTCTCACTGCATGGATCTTTTGCCATTTTCACTGTTATTCTGAACAACTGCACAGGGGAGCTTAGCAGAGAACAAATAACCTGCCTTTGGGTGATGTTCTGGAATCGGTACAGCATTTCATTAAAGATGAAAAGATCTACTTGATTATCAGGTCAATGTTTTTGAATCAGTGGTGTATTTCTCTAAAATAAAGGGCCTATCTTATTCTGAAACTTTAGCTTTGGGTTAATGGCACTACTCTGAGAATGGATTCATTAGGAAATCTGATCTGAGAGCAATGATTATTGTAGAATCAATTCAAATTCCCAGTGGAATAAATCCATCTAGTTAAAACATCAAGAGATCTTTTCCCATTCTTGTTAATAAGCTGAGGAATGCACTTAAACAGCAATCAACTCCCTGTAATTTAAAGTTCATCTGCACAAAGAGATGAGTAGTAGCTTCAGAGATGGTGACATGCTTGTCAACTTGTAGATGTAAAATACTACATGATACATACTCACAGGGAAGTACAAGACCACTTCATGCTGTTTTTCTCCCAGCAAGGATATATTTGACCAAGGACCTTGATTTAAGTTTGTGCATTCTCTAGGAAGAAAGATCTTGATTTCATTTGATAGCCAGGCATGGATTTCTGCCGTATAGTATATTCTGGCATTCACAATCTAACACAGATTTCCAAGATAAGTTCATGTGCACAGATAATGATGGAAAAGACTTTTTGTTGCTCTTTTCTTCTGGTTCTCTTTCCCTTTTTCTAATTTTCCCAATGTTTCCAATGAATTTGTCCTTAGAATCATAGAATCATAGAATCACACGGTTGGAAAAGACCTGTAAGATCATCCAGTCCAACCGTCTTCTCATTACCATTGCTACCACAAACTAAACCAGATCTCGCAGCTCCTCATCCAGGCACCTCTTGAACACTGCCAGGGACGGTGACTCCACCACCTCCCTCGGCAGCCATTCCAGTGCCTGACCACTCTCTGAGAGAAAAAGTTTTTCCTCATGTCTAACCTAATCCTCCTCTAGTACAACTTGCAGCCATTTCCCCGGGTCCTGTTCATTGCCTGGGAGAAGAGACCAAACCCCTCTTCACCACAACCTCCCTTCAGGAAGTTGTAGAGTGCAATGAGGTCTCCCCTGAGCCTCCTCTTCTCCAGACTAAACAATCCCAGCTCCCTCAGCTGCTCCTCATAAGACTTGTGCTCCAGACACCTCATCAGTTTCATTGCCCTTCTCTGGACACGCTCCAGGACCTCAAAGTCTTTCTTGTAGTGAGAGGCCCAAAACTGAACACGGTACTCGAGGTGCAGCCTCACCAGAGCTGAGTACAGGGGGATGATCACCTCCCTGCTCCTTCTGGCCACACTATTTCTAATGCAGGCCAGGATGCTGTTGGCCCTCTTGGCCACCTGGGCACACTGTCGGCTCATGTTCGGCCGAGCATCAACCAACACCCCCAGGTCCCTTTCCTCTTCACAATCATCCTGCCACTCGTCCCTAAGCCTATAGCGCTGCATGGGGTTGTTGTGGCCAAAATGCAGGACCTGACACTTGGCCTTGTTGAACCTCATCCCATTCACCTCAGCCCAGCGATCCAGCTTATCTAGATCCCTCTGAAGGGCCTCTCTACCCTTAGGCAGATCCACACCACCTCCCAGCTTGGTGTCATCTGCAAACTTACTGAGGGCACGCTCTATCCCCTCGTCTAGGTCATCAATAAAGATATTAAACAAGATAGGCCCCAGTACCGACCCCTGGGGGACACCACTTGAACCTGGTCACCAGCTGGATTTAACTCCATTAACCACTACCCGTTGGGCGCAGCCCTCTAGCCAGTTTCTTACCCAAAGAAGGGTATACCTGTCTAGACTACGGGCAGCCAGTTTCCCCAGGAGAATACTGTGAGAGACCATGTCAAAGGCTTTGCTGAAGTCTAGGCAGACTACATCAACAGCCTTTCCCTCATCTACCAGTCTGGTCACCCAGTCATAGAAGGAGATGAGGTTGGTCAAACACGACCCGCCTTTCATGAACCCGTGCTGGCTGGGCCTGATCCCCTGGACACCATGCACGTGCTGTGTGATCTCACCCAAGATGATTTGCTCCATTACTTTCCTGGGTACCGAGGTCAGGCTGACAGGCCTGTAGTTCCCTGGATCCTTCTTACAGCCCTTCTTGAAGATGGGAGTCACATCAGCAAGCCTCCAATCCTCTGGGACCTCTCCAGTTAACCAGGAGCACTGATAGATGGCCAAGAGCAGCTTGGCAATCACCCTCGCCAGCTCCCTCAGCACCCGAGGGTGTAGGCCGTCTGGTCCCGTGGGCTTGTGACAGTTCAGTCCTTCTGAACATTCAGGTAAACTTTATGTAACATGAACAGTAAAATGCCAAAGTCCCAGTGGACATAGTTGTTCCCTTATTAGGGACCTATTGGACCTTCTTGGTCCAGAAGAGGGCCACAAAAATGATTCAAGAGATGGAACACCTCTACTACCAGGACAGACTGAGAGAGCTGAGGCTGTTCAGCATGGAGAAGAGAAGGCTCTAGGACAGCTAAGTGTGGCCTTTCAGTATATTTAGGGGAGATATAGGAAAGAAGGAGACACACACTTTAGCAGGGTCTGTTGTGACAGGACAAGGGAAAATGGTTTCAAAGGGGATATTGAATATAAGAAAAGTATTTTTTATGATAAGGGTGGTGAAGCACTGGAACACATTGCCCAGATTCATTCAAGGCCAGGTTGGACCAGGCTCTGAGCAAGCTGATCTAGCTGTAGATGTCCCTGTTCGCTGCAGGGGAACTGGAGCAGATGACCTTTAAGGGTCCTTTCCAACTCCAGTGATTCTATGATTCTAATAATTTTTTTAATGACTTTAGAGTTTTTGACTCAACAGTCATACCTAGGAGGGCAGCTACACACATTTATAATTCTGTGTTTAAAAAAAAAAAAAACAAAAAGCATTTATTGACCTCTGTTTAAACTTAATTTTTCTTAATTTTTTCTTTAACTTCTTTGATAGCCACATTGGGTGGAAAAAATAGATGAATATCTAACAAGTATACATTTCCTGATTTTTGAAAACAGCTGAAATAAAATTCCATTTGTCTACATTATCAAGTCTAAAAATAAAAAAAAATTACCGTATCTTAATTTGTAGCCTATCCCACATACTTGGATTCATCTTTTTATCAATCTCCTGTTTTTCTTCAGTTTTCCACATATGGTCTTTTCATTTATATTAATAAAAACTGCTAAAAAAAGGAAAATAACAGAAATGAAAACAAACATAAAAACCTAACTAGCATTCTTTTTAGTCCACATACCCTGTGAAATTCTACGTCTTGTTTTATACAGAAAAGTGTGTGGGTTCTTTCCGCAGTTCAATTGTGTTCAATTTCTGCTGATATTGTTGGTTTTTTATATGTATGACATTACTGTCAATAATGTGTAACTTCAATTGAAAAAAGTCAGTCCATTCTAGGTGCATTCACATAAAAAATGCAATGGATCAGAACTGTTTTTAGTATTCAGCTTCACAGACTTTGAACAGTATAATTTTTTTTATAATGTGCTCTTTGTTAGGGTGACTAGAAGTTGCATAAGCTATCACTGTTATAAACAGGTATGATCTTTGAAATGGGGATATTTAAGAAAGTCAGAATTGTATCAATATATTGACATCACACTTTTCTTCTACCTTTTATCTTCCTTTGATGCATTTGGAAATAACTAATGCTGCAGAGAAGCCTTCCCATCCTCTTGCTATTTAATCATAAAGGCCTTAGATATGTTTTCTCATAAGATGCTTATGAGATATGATGAATCTAACTGTGCACATCTAATTTCTCACTTGTTTTGAGGTCACATGGCTAATGTTGAGGCTGCATAGCAGCCTGTGTGAGCAGAGAAATGCAGTGCATCATATTAGAGCATAGTGGCTCCAGCTGTTTCAACAGGGCCTCGCTGCTGCCAGAGCTGAGCTGTGAGCCTGAAAGAGGTACAGCCCATGGATATTCCTGCAGGTGGGGACCCATGTGGAGCAGTGCTTGAAGGGTAGGCCCCGTGCTTACTGTGTCTGCTGGATTTCACCTGGGAGATAGCTGTATTTCAAAAATATGTGGCTGGTCTGTGCAGCTGGAAAGGCACTTTGAGCTATTCTTGGCTTGTAATTTTATATAAGAACAATGTACTATATTATTAGTCTATTTATTTATTTATTCATTCATCTTTATTTCATGGTATCACTCAATATACTTCAGAAGAAGCAAATGGAAGCCTTGACTTTGCCTTCAGAAACGATACAGCAGGGCAACCAGTCATGTGCAGTCTCCTCTCCGTTGTGTCACTGATGGGAGGAAGCCAGATGGGACACCTTTTGGGATGAAATGGCAGTTAGGGCTTCTGGTTCATTAAACAATAGAAAACAAACTGTTCTAGAAGAGGCTGCTCATGCATTCAAGCCTGCTTTCCTGTCATTGTCTGTGGCTGGAGCTTTATGGCTTTTGTAAGAATTAATAAGGCTTATTTATCATGCTTGCATCACTTGAGTAACAGAGGGCACTTGATTTTCATTGGAACCAATGATGTTTAGGGATCTTGCAAAATCTGCATTTGAGGATGTCACCTTCCATAGAAGGTGAGTGCATGTACAGTGACTTCAGGATCAATGGGATGTCTTTAACTCACCATCCTGCATCCTGAGACAGAAAGAATAACCCTGGGCTCACTTTCTGAATCACACCAAAATACAGCATGAGACTGAACATTTTTGTAGAGCTGTATGATGAAGCAGAAAGCCAAAAGTTGCTGCAATCTTGTCTCTCTCCGATTTATAGGAGGGAGAGGAGTTTCTTTTAATATCTGTATACCCGGTGTGAGATTAAGAAACAGTGGTTCAAATGTTGGTCCAACCAGTTTATTACAGATGTTAATTAGGGAGATGAGGAAGGGGAGAACAGACACTATTATGAATTAGGGTAATGGGGAAGGGAAAGAGGGTGATAGAAAAGATAGGGAAGAAGAAACAAGGAGTCTTTATAGGAAGCAAGAGGGAGATAGTCACCACCATGGATCCAGCGTGGTTCATAGTTTAGCCATTGATCTTCAGTAGTGGTGGGTCATTGAGCATTGTTGTTCTGTTGATGACGACAGCGACAACGGTGACCATGGTGATGATGGCCCCTTTTCAATGCTTTCAAAGTGATCGAGTCAGCTGTCTTTGGAGTGACAGCTGAAATCCAAAGTTCTTGAGTCATCTCTCCTTGGAGTGGCAGCTTCTGGCTCTGGGATCTTAGCGGAAACTCCTTTGTTCCTATCTTCCTGGCCTTGCCAGCAGATAAGAGGGAGCAGGGAGGCACCAACTTGTATCTTGCCTTCACAGGATACAATGGCATCATCCCCCAGTTTCCCATAGCAAGCTGGAGTTATTTAGTCACAGGCTACATCTTCTGCCATTAAACACTCCTGAGCACTCTTTTCCGGAGGCAAACAGCTAAAATTGACCACACAGTGATGCTGATTGCCACACGGCAACACCCATCACTCATCTAGACAAGTCAGTCTTATCACAAGAAATACCTCAGGAAGCAAGCTTTGAGCCAAAAAACAAAGAAGGATTCTCACAAATCTGCAGTTCTATTAGATGCTTACAGCTTGTCACTGGAGAGCTGACCTCCAATCAGAAGCAGGCATCAAGCTTTCTCAGAACCAGGAAGTGGCACAAAAAAGGGTCCTTTCATACTTAAATTTGATATATAATAATACAGTCATAACACAAATACAAAATAAATATCTAACAATAACATTGACACCAAATCTGCACATAAATCCAGTTCCCTATTTGAGGGAGATGAGAATTTGGGGTGTTAGTATTGTTTAATTCAGTTTTATTACAATTTTAGGAAAATCCATTCATTTCTACAAAAAGAATCAAAATAGAGTAAATTTCACTTCTAGTTACATTACAGACTGTAGAAATGATAACAAAGCGGGTAGAACATGTATAGGGCAGAATTTTTGGAGCTGATGTTGAGTAAAATAAATGATGTTTATTATTTGGATTATACAGTTTTCTTTTATCAGCATAGCTGACACATAGAATAAGTCACCATTAACAACAGAAATACTAAGAAATATATAGATTTAAACAAACGTTAAAAAACTATTGGTGGAAAGCAATTTTTTCAGTATATGCTGAAAATATCTTAAAAATAAACTGTGTCATGGACAAGAAAGACAAAGCATGTTTTACAATCCCTAAGGTAAATACAACATTTGTTTTAAAAGCTGTGCAAAGAATTCTGGTCACAGTTTATTTTTAAGATATTTTCAGCATATACTGAAAAAATTGCTTTCCAGAATTCTTCACACTCAGATTTTTTAATATCTTTTGAGAATACATCTATCTGAGATCTTCTGTTGTAACCTTTAGGACTAGCAATAAAGTACATTTTAATTGCTTTACCTGACCTTTCTCCTCAGTGTTTGCTCAGATTTAAGAATCCTTTTGTTTTATTTGTTTGTTTGCTTTAGTTTACTTTATTCCATTTTGTGTTTTAAGAAGTTTTGGTGAAATATTGCAGTTTAATTTAACTTCCTTTTAATTTTACTAGACCTAGTCTCATCTTTGATGATGAGAAGCTACATCTGTAATACTGGTAAATGTATCTACAGTAGAACCTAGCCTTTCCCTGCTGGGAGGTAAATCTTTTATTAAAATACCTATTGTGGAACCTGAAAATCAGTAAGATTAGTTGTGAAACAGTACATAGTAGTCCAGCAGGATAAGATGTGAAACTTAACAGAAATTGGCTTATTCTCAATTGCTAGAAATAACACAGTATGAACAAGAAGTGCATTTAATAATGATAATTTGAATCCACGCTCTGCCAGGACAAGTTTGCCCTGTGACAAGTTTAACTTTTAATATATTTATTACTATTCTTTTGATATGCTCCCTCATTAATCTAATGACAAAATATTCCAGAGTAACTAGCATCTTCTCTTAAGAAGATATTGGCTAAACTAGAAGAATAAGAATACACATAAAACTGTAGTTCTTCTTTACAGAAATCCTAATTATTATCTTTATCAGATCTGGTAAACTGGAATCAGCATGCTTGAGCAGAATCTGAACAGCATTAACTCCACCTCAGCTAAATGTCAAAGATGGGAAGTTTGCTCCTGACATCTAAAAAAAGAAGTTAACTCTCTTATAGCCTGCAGCTAGATCAGATACCCCAGGGCACGACGGTGGAGCTCATTATACTGCCTGGACATAAGCCAGGCTATAGATGTAGTGAGCTGTACTAAAATGGACTTTTAATATTGTGGGTTCTTTTTTAATATGAGACCAGGAAATCTCGGTCAAACGTAGAGTGTCCATTTTCTGTTGAGCATCTTTTTTTCTGTTATTCTGAAACAAAAGCTCTATAACACCTTCATGCAACATGCAACAACTTTAATCAGAAGGGCTGATTTTGTACCCACCTCAAATAGTCAAGCACCTGAGTACTAAAGTATACTAACAAAAGATCAAACACAACTTTGAAAAGGCAGTTACAAGTAAAGAGGTTAAGCTTTTTCTGTTAAGAGCCTGAGTTTTTTCTGTTCTTAAAAGAACATCTGCTGACACAGGAAATGATCTTTCTTTCAAGTTTCTATTGTGGTTTAACCCAGTTAGAAGCTAAAAACTAAACACCATGCAGCCCTTTGCTCACTCCCCTTTCCACCCAGTGGGATAGGAAAGCTGAAAAACTGGAATGTCCCTGGCTCTGAACTGCTCCACTTAGCAACATCTAAAACATCAGTGTATTATCAACGTTGTTTTTCTCCTAAAGCCGAAACATAGCTACCTATCAGACATTATGAAGAAAATCAACTCTGCTCCAGCTAAAACAGGACAGGTTCTCAAGTAGACTATTTTCCTGCACTGTAAGATAAAGTTTCCTGTGAAGAATGTATTGTGACACTCCACAAATCAAACTTTGTCATCCATAGCTATTTAGCTAGCAAGCAACGCTTCAAGTTGCTGTCTATTTTTTAGCCTGCCTGAAACACCATAGATCTTCCAATGCTCTCTGCATATTATCCTGATGCAGTTGGCATCCACTGTTACAAGGGTGAGCCTACTGAACTTCATTCCTTAGACATTTTTTCAGGAGTTTGGACGTGTGTTAACTTGCATCCTTGAACTGGGATCTTAAAGTCAAAAGGAAAGGTAACCCAATAAAATGTTCTGAGATTATGTATAACCACTGAAGTGGAAGTTCTTAAAGAATGGACAAGTAGTACACAGATAACGTTGCAGCTGGAAGGCCAATTTCTTGAAAGATTTGAAATAGAGAAGAATTGCTGAATATCTGCATTTCAGTCAGAAGTTAATTAAAAATCACACCCCAAAATGATTATATTTCAAAAATTCTGTTTACTTTTGCATGAACTGAATGCCAATGGCTTCTGTCACTGAGCCTGAAGATAGTAATAGTAGCTTAATTTATCAAGACTGTAAAACATCTGGGATGAAGCAAAAGTCTTCTTTTGAGATAAGATCTTTTGAATGCAAGAATCAATTCCACAAATTGAACTTTAAACTTAAATTCCCAAGGAGAATTCGGGGATTAAAAAAGCCCCACACCTTGGAAGAAAGACTACCTGATTCTTAACACTATTCCTTGCTGGTTCTATTCTATTAAGGCCAATTAATACCTAGTAATTTACTGAAATTCCTTTGTCATATGTTATTAAAAAGCTGGAACTTTCTTGACTTCAAGTATTAGAATACTTGTATCTCCTGTCCCAGTAATTTACAGCTTTATCTTTATACTGAGTAATACAGGATTTTCAAACAATATTTTGTGATAGTAGATGACTGCTTTGTCAGTCAGTCTTCATGAAATAGCTGAATTAAAAATTGTTGATCTAATGAGAAAAAATCTCAGCCAAGTTGCCACCCTGAACGTTAAGCTACTCAGGGAGCTAGTTAGCCATCCTATTGGGAATGTGCATTAGAAATTTTAGGGGTCAATATAAGCTGGTCACCACCTTTTAAAAGCCTGGGAGCAGGCATTGTGTCACAAGTCAAGGAAGCAGAGCTGAAGACAGTCTTTGTTGAACAGGGATCTCCTCTTGGAACTAGAGCAGAATAAGAAAATATGTGATCTTGAGAAGCAAAGTCACACTTCACATGGAGATGCAGTCTGTAGGAAGAAAACAAGAAAAGCTAAAGTGCAATTTGAGTTGACATTAGTTGGTGTACTATCAGAAAACAAAAAAGGCTTTTTAAGGTATGTCAGAAGCAGGAAAAATTCTAAAGAAAGCACTGAACCATTCTAAAGAAAACATCTTCATGAAGACAAACAGGAATGCAGGAATGGGATGGAACTGTACTAAGAGTGATATCAGGAAAAGTTTCTTCACTGTGAGGACAATCAAACACTGGGACAGGCTTCCATGAGGTGGTTGATGCCCTATGCTAGTAAATGTTCAAGAGGCATTTGGATAATGCCCTTAATAATGTAGTGTAGGATTTCACAATCTCTGAAGTGATCAGGCAGTTAGACTTGATATTTTTTAGGTCACTTAACTGAAGTGAAATACTCTATTCTAATTTCTAGGGAAGTGAAAAGGGAAGGGGAAAAGTTCATGTTGTAAAAGACTTCTACATAACAGAAGCATTAAATACTCTGTTACCAAAGATAGCTAAAAATAGGCATCAGTTCAGATGAAGCTGTTTTGGAGAGCTAATGATAACTAAAGACTGTATTAGGATATTTAAATAGGCTCCTTTTAATGCAAAATTCATTACAAATGTTACTCAAATATATTTTGGATTGCAATAAGAATTCAATAATGCTCTTTGGAAGACTCTGAAAAAAAATATCAGACACAATGGACAAAGCTGAAACATAGCTGTAAGAGAACAATGCAGATGTGTGAAGGAGTAGCATTATCTGTCATGACATATGTTAGGGTATATGTAAATGCATTCAAAAGTCATTTATGGACACTTAAAGCTAAAACTTAAAATGATTCATGCTATGCTATCCTAGCATACCACATGACATACATACAACAATAAAACTTTTGCATAGTCTGCTAGCAGAAAAAATGGAAATGATAAG